GAATATAGTAGGTCTCAGAGCAGCCAAATCATCCAGTAGTTTCATATTGTCCTGCAGAAATGTTTGCAAGTGATTCGTCCAATCAAATCAACAGAAAAGGGGCACAGTATAAGCAAAGACCAGATCACATTTGCAAATAATGTCTATCATATTTACTTCATGCAAACTAGTGGATGTTTATAAAAAGCATTATATTAGAGATACAGATAGAATGAAAGGATTCCCACATGTTCTGACATCACATTTGGAATGCCAAATATTTGGCTAAAAGGACAAAGTTCAGTTTCTAACCCCTTGGTAGAATCCAACAGCAACTCCAAAGTACACTGTTAGGATCTGATTAGCTCGTTCGTAAATGTGTGCCAATGGAAGATACGAAATGTAACTGAAGATTATAAGAGATTATGAAAAAATAATTAAGATACATGAAGCAATTGATACAAAGGAGAACATTAAAAATCTTGAACTACTGGTAGAAAGAAGCAAAGCACTTACACATCTGAAGAGAAAAATTTCACACTAAAGCTGGAGCCAGCAACATTTGAAATCAAGTTTGCATGAGTTAAAACGACTCCCTTTAGCATATTTCATCCAGAAGAAGAGCAGATCGGTGAGGAATGAGACATACATGATAAGATAAACAGTAATTAGATGCTATAGTATGGGTAAATATGAAATAAAGAACAGTACTATCCTAAATTTGAAGATAAAATTTCAAGCAAGTAGAACCTTGGGTGTCCCAGTTGTTCCGCTTGTATAGCATATAGTTGCAACATCATCTGGTTTCGGTGGGAAAAATCGCTGAGGGTTACTGCGACCCTGAAACAAATTTCTTTGGTCAGAAATCAATGAAACCAACATGTACCGCAACTGTGCTGCTATCACAGGGTGAGTGGGTGACTATATTATCTCAATGAGAAAAACTATGATGGATATATGGGAAAGGTATAGGAGTAGTCATGATATAAATTGATTTCGAGTTATAGGTAAAAGTACGATGATGTGGACGTAGACTTGTGCATATAAGACCTACTATGTACCCAATGTTGTATAAAAATTGATGAAACCTGGGTTGGTAATAAACAGAAGACTCATAATACCACTGGTAAGAACTTGTAAAATCTTAAATGATAGAGAATGTCCTTAGTCCTGCTTATCTTGAGAAAACGGATACTAAGTTACAAAATCACACAATACCTGATTCAGTAACACCGAATATGATACAACCTTCACTCCTGCTGATGCCGGAAGCGAGGGTAAAGATTCATTTAACCCTCCAACAACCTACTTGTCCATGACAAGTATCACGAACAGAGAGAAGAAAAATAATAATTTGAAAACTGAAGTCATAATAATCAAACAGTAAACAATAACAAAAATATGAGGTCTCTTCATACCACCACCAGTCGTACACTTGGCATTTCAGACAAGCAGCTAAGTAACTGAAATCTCCAGCAAAAACAGGAAGGAAAGCAAAAAGAAGTCAGAAAAACGATAAATTAAGAAAAAGTACGAGCAATTAAAGGATAACAGTAAGCAACATACACATTATATGAGTAAGGGATAAAAAGATTCTTTTCAAAAAAAAATCTCATACTTATCCAAGTAAGAATTTAGAAAAGGAGAAGGAAATTGAAGCAGCAGATTGATGAACTTACAGAGTTTAAAGTCTCTGCCACACAAAATATGGCTTGCACAGTTGCATGATTGACAATAAATTTGACAGCATCAGGACCTTCACTCAAAAAAAAAAAAGGAGAATTACTGTCATGAATATCCCTATTAAAAATGTACAATTAGAATAAAAGAAAGTGTAACGAGGTGCTTACCAAGAGTATCATACAAAGGAACAGAGACATAAGAATAAGAAGAACAAGCATGATCAACGATGAGCCACTCTGGGCGGTTGATAAAGTAGATTCCAACAGATGATCCCTGGTAGAAGAAAAACAGAAACTTGAGTCAAGCTGCAAAACTCAAGATCAATTGGGCAGGCGAGCTAGAATAAAAAAAAGTTACCATTGGGATACCGTGATGAATCAAACCAGAACCAAGAGCAGTTCTTGCAGTACCAGCTTCTCCGTATGTCATCCATTTGTAGCTAGAGAAGAGTAAAAAATAAAAATAAAAAGAGTCACGTAAAGAGAATATAATAGCTTGGAAGAAACAAGAGTAGCAGAAAGCCACAAAGAGAAAACATATACATAATAGAGTAAGTTTAAGCAGCTCACTCTCCAACAGTGCCGTCGACACGAACACGAGTTCCTAAATACTTGTAATCCCGAAAATCATGAACAGCATGCCTTCATAGTAACAACAATTAGAGAGACGACTAAAAAAAATTGATACTTAAGAAGAAGGGGGAGTCTGATTGATTCATACTCGAAGTTGTCATGAAGAGTGGCGATGTCAGGATGATCTGGGAATCTACTAACGAGCTTGAACGGAGACTTTGCAGATCTGAGAAATTCAAATCAAATCGAATTTTGAGAGAGAGAGAGAGAGAGCAAGAAGAGGAGGAAGCAGAGAAGAGCGAAGAGGAAACCTGTAGACATTCCAATTGCCAGTATTCAATTTCTCGGGGAGAACAACACTGTAGCCGTTATCTGATAGCGATCAGAAACAAAGAGGAGGAATCAGCAACACGAGAGGAAAGCTAGTCGTAAATCAGAGAGATGAGGAAGGAATACAGTCATACATACCAAGACAGAACTCGCCGGCGGTGGGATTGGAACGGAGGAGAGGGGAAGAACGAGAAGACGTGACGAGATGAGAGTGGATAGCGTTGATGCGGCGGCGTGCTGCGGCGGATGAGGAAGAATCCATTATTTCCGATTCGGAATCAGAGAAAGAGAAAGAGAAGAGAAGAGAAGAGAAGAGATAGATTATTAAAAAAAGGAGGCACGCTTTTCTAACTCGTGTTGATGATGTCGCTATCCGTTGATTTCGTGTATGAGTTTCTCGCCAAATATAATCATATTTAATTGTCAACAAAAATAAACATTAGTTAATAGGACTACTAACTAATTAATAATATACTTGTCATAAACTATAATAATTAGACAGTAATAATGTTTGATAATTGATTTGATTTAGTGATATAATAATTAGAAAGTAATGATAAGAATTAACAGTGCAAAAAGCTGGAAAATACCATTTTGGTATTCGCTAACGGTGTCTCCCCCGTCTTCTACATCATCATCAAGCTCGCTTGAGGATGCGGCGAAGAGAGAAAGAAGGGAAGAGAGGTAAGAAAGGATTGGGAAGAACGAGACCGGCGAGTATGAGAATAAGGCCGATGATCATGTTCCTATTTGCACTCCTTCTAAATCATCTCTTCCATTACCTCCTCTGTTCCCACTTGCGCTTAAGAAAAACAGAGTAGAGACATGGTTCCTCTTTCGTGAGGCATAAGCTTCTCAACAGCTTCAATTACTTCCTCTCTTGTGTCTTGGAAACGCTTATGTCTACTTTAGCTTCTTCGAAAACCCATATTTTCAGCGTAATTGTAAACCGATGCCACTAGGTTTTCTCTATCGAGACACTGTGCTTACTCAGTTCTATGAAACAGTAAATTGTAAATCCCAAATCAGCTCTCACCGAGAGAACAAGGAAAAGGGCATATACAGCCTAGAAAGCAACCACTGAGGTAGAAGGATCGTTTCGAAGAACTGGATTCGATGATGGATGATGATATGGTGATAGATGATGATGATCGTGAGAGAGAGTAAGAGATTGAAGAAGATAAATTGTGTTTGATTGATTAGTTTGCAGAAAGTTGCTCAGCCTTACATATATAGAAGCGACAAAGATGCAAAACCTAAACCATAAATTATAATTAACTAAACCAGAGATAGCCCAAACCATGTTCTTAACCGGTTTGTCCTGTCACATTCTAGGATTAATAAGGGTTCATATAACAAAAGAGGTAATGTAATCAAATCTTGGAGCAGCCAAGGATTTCTTTTCCCACAAGAGAATCTATGCAAACTTCGATGAGTCCAACATCAGCTATAGTTTGTCTAGAATCTCTTATCACTGCATATAGGAAATAAGAGTCTTCACGGTTTCGTTTATTCCAAGCTCATTGATAGAACTCGTTGTTTTCCAAGAATGTCACTACCTTGTATAACAAGTTGTTAGAGCTATGACCATCGCTCATCTCTAGGTAATAAGCCAATAACATTAGGGTTGTTTGATATACAGGTCAAAATCTTGTGACTTAGAATCTCTACAAACTAATCAATTAAAACATTAGGTTTACTAGGTCTGTCGATGGGTTCATCGTAAACTTATTTGACATTTTCTTATAGTAGCAAGTAGCAACCTTTCTGAACAAAATCCAGAGATGATCATATATAGAGAGATCTTGTGATCCTCTCTCAAGCTCAAGGTGTGATGGAAAGAGGCGAAAGTGATCATGGCTTGATCAGATGGACCATATATGATAACGGATGTATTTGATTGGAGATTTGGAGTTATAAAGCGTTGCGCTTAAGCCATGTGGTTGGACCAAAACGAGAGTGGTCCAAGTCCAACACCAATAACCCCGCGGGCCGCAGCTAACGTACGTGCGTCCAAGTATTTTACTTGCACATATTTATTTATTACGATCATATTACCACTTAAATATATACATACATACCCCAATTATATTAGATTACTATTGTCTGTTTATTGTTAGTCCGATACGGCCATACCCACTGCTATTAGTGTTTTATATTATGAAATATATATACTCTGTCGACAAATTAATAACTATATAAAATTATTAATATATATCTATATATATGTAAATAATTTAGTATAATATAACATTGTGTTGTTATTTATTCTTAATTTTTTTATAATTCAATTCTATTAAATTTCATGTATCTCTTTATGAATTAATAATTATTAATTTATTGATAAATAAATAATTCTATAAATTTGTAGATTTTATTGTCTAACATTATTAATTTACAGTAGTTTTAGTGTACATTGTTATTAATCTTGTGATATAAGACTCAGGAAAAGGTACTATATAAAATTAAAACAGCCATAATCAAAACTCAAGAGAATACAATCTTTCTTATTACGAAAAACTACAATTAACCTGCCCTATTAAGCCTATGGAGAAAAAAACGGCTACAGCTTAGTTTTAAGATCACAGACTTGTTCCAAGACCACCATCGAAGGAAAGCCAAGTACGAGGTTGCAATGCGATATTGAATCCAAACGTGTCTTAAAGATTCCCAACAACGTGATCACTCCTGGCATTCTCGCCTTTGTCTCAATCACAATTTTTCCATGCAATATATCTTGCACGATGTCACCTAAGTTGGCGACAAATTGATCGATCTGGAGAAGAAGGGGACACGCCAAGATCACTGAACCTTTGGCAGGCAACGTGCTCGAAGGAAGAGTGAGATTTCCCACTAGCCTATCCATGTAGTAAACCAAGTTTTCCATCGTCTTGTACTCGAAATCCGCAACGTTAGGGTTCTCGAGCAGCATCTCGAGTGTAAGGGTGAAGTTCAGTTGGACCTGGAATGGTGGCAATACATTTGTGGATACGCCTTTAACAGTTGAAGACACGGTTTGTAGTATCGGATGTTTTGGCTTGAACACGGTCTGCGCAAGGATCAAAGCAATCATGAAGATGGCCAAGAGGATGAAGATGATTGCCGAAACCATGTAGCAAATGTTTCGTTTGCTCATGATTGTACGTAATATTTGTGTATGTGGGATATTGTTTTGTATGTATGTGAAAGAAAATGTTGTATAGGCTAATTTTTTTTTTTTTTTTTTTTTGGTGGAATAGGCTAGTCTTTCTTTGACATATAGAAAGATGGATATATAGGTTTTAAAAAGGAGTTCAAAAGCAAGCTGTAACATAACGGATAACAGATATCAGTATTCACTTTATGGCAGTAATTAGGCGACAGGTTTCTTGCTCTTTTGTTGTATGATACAAATTAATGTAATTGTTAAGTCAAACTATCTTAATTAGGCGGATTTGATTCCTTTGATGAATTTTAACATTAGTATGAAACAGCCACTTAAAGTTTGTCATAAAGATCTCTTGCTTTTATTTTGTCCATATGAGATCCAACAAAGTTAAATGAGAAAAGTTTAATATATGATTAAGCAATCTGTGGTAAAGGAAAAAATTGTATTTATTTGGTGAAAATAAAATCCAACTACAGTAACATCGATCTCTAGTGACCTGGTTTCCAGATTTTGTTTTTAAGTTTCTTTATCAGGAAATTAAAGTACGATTCATCAGTTAACTTTGAAACCGATTAAAGTACGATTTGTATCAACCGATTTGAAAGGGAAAAGTGGAAAACAATCTTCTCTCTCTCTTTTCTTTAATAATCGGATGAGAGATAAGTGGGCCTAATAATTAATCTCTAAAGGCCCATTTTCTTGGGACATTAGACCGAGTATGGGCATTTCATAACTTCGAACTGAAATTTGGTAATGTATGGTTGTAGATTAAGTTATGAAAAGCCCAAGTTAATCTGCTAAACAAACAAAGTTTGATATGTTTTCATTGTACGTACGTAAAACTAAATAAAAACGAACGAAGAAGTAAACAGATCTAGTTAACACTCTCCACACTGAAAGCATTTGGAATTGTAATATAAACATTTTTTTTTTGTTATATAAACATATCAGACTAAAATGGTTGAACCAAAACGTTGACAAAAAACCAAAAGGAAGAATAAGATAAATAGAAGACAAAACGAGAGGAGTGGTCCAGCACCAAGAAACCCGCAGCTCGACGTGCTTCCCAGTATTTTACTTGGATTTTGTTTTTCTTTTTAGTTTAATATCATATTACTTCTATATATATATATATATACCCCATTTAGATTTATTATTGTCTGTTTGTTTGTCCCATACTCAATAGTTTGCTATTATTAGTGTTTTATATTATGGTAATATATGTACGTACTCTCTGGACAAATTTTTTTTTCCATTCAGTATATAAATAGAAATAAAAAGAAATGAGTATAATTTTAGAGCTGTCTGCAGGTACTTTTTGGACTCGTGACTTTTAAAATTTAAATGATAGATTTTAGTAAACTGTTGGAAAAAAAGGGGAACAAAAGTGTGTTATAAAAAAAAAAATACTGCAAATCGTCGTAAGCCAAAGACAAAGGTCATGCAGGCATTGTGAAGAAAAACATGTGTGAACAAACTATCTAAAGCAAGAGTAAACGCAAGTAACAAATAATATTTGGATCCTTTAGCTGAATTTTTTATATTTTTAAAGCAAGAGCAAAGCTAAACGCAAATATCATATTTGATTCAAATGCGTGGCTTTGCGTACTATATATATAATATAACACGTCTATACATTTAAATCATTTTAACCCAAAAAAAAAAGTTCATATACACATTATAATGTATATTAGCGTAATTTAAATCACATGCAACGACGAACGGGGAAGGTCATGTGCCGACATGTGTTAACTGTTCATATTTCATAACCCTCCTTCTTTCATGCACTCCCTCTCTCTCGTTAATTCTCAACTCCCTATTGAGTATTGACTATGTGATCCATCATCATCTTCCTTCTCCACTAGAAAATAAAGAAAAAGCTTCTTCCATCTTAATTGTTTTCTTAAGTAACCTCGATCGATGTAAGGTTATATATATATAAATGTAATGAACCAGTTGCGTTGCATGGCTCATCTCTCTATTCTTAAAACACCAACAATAACAGGCTTTTATTAAAGTCACAACTCTAATTACATGTCTCTAATTTGTCTGTTTGTGTCTCCCCCCAACGTGTCCATGTGGTCGTCTAGCTTCCTCATCAGTACTATCTTCTTATTAGCTTCAATTCTTTTATTAATCTTAATTGCATTACATTAACTTACTCTGTTTCTCCTTTTCCCAGACCTCATCTCTCCCCCTTGTTATTTATTATCTCAATCATCTCTAACTCTCACAAAGTCCACCACTCTCTACCTCCAACTCTCTCTTTTCTTAAACTTACAGACAAGAATCAATCAGTCACACGTCTATGCCACGATTTGCTCTCAGATTCTGAACTTGACTTCCACCAACGTTTATAAGCAGAGATCAATCTCACTTACTAGAATCTATCAAATCTTCTTCATCACAAGAGAAGATATGGTTTCGGAGACGGTTTCAAAGACGGAATCACCACCGTTGATTGGACCTCGTATATCCTTCTCAGCTGATTTATCCGACGATGGTGATTTCATCTGCATCAGCCCCGTAATGTGTAAGGAGTTAGAGAAAGATGTCGTCCTCAAAGGGTCAGTGAAAGTCTCCGACTTTGAGTTCTTGTCTGAAAATGTGAGTCCACAGAAGATGCTTACCGCCGACGAGCTCTTCTCTGAAGGCAAGCTGCTTCCCTATTGGCAAGTAAAGCACTCGGAGAAGCTTAAAAACATTACCCTGAAGACGAACGAAGAAGAAGAAGAGAACCGTAAAGCAGAAGTGATGAAGAAAGATCAGGAGATTACTAGTAATAACAGAGTGAGTTGGTTTATTGACGAAGATCCATCTCCTCGTCCTCCCAAGTGCACGGTTCTTTGGAAAGAGCTTTTGAGATTGAAGAAACAGAGGAATCCGTCTTCGTCTTCGGTTACGGTGAGGACGGTGTCGTCTTTGTCTCCGTCATCGTCAACCTCATCATCAAGCTCGCTTGAGGATGCCGCGAAGAGAGAGGAGAGAGAGAAAGAGCGGAAGAGAGGTAAGAAAGGATTGGAAAGAACGAGATCGGCGAGTATGAGGATAAGGCCGATGATTCATGTTCCTATTTGCACTCCTTCTAAGTCATCTCTTCCACTACCTCCTCTGTTCCCACTTGCGCTTAAGAAAAACAGAGTAGAGAGACGAGCTTAAGAAAATGTCGAATCTGTCTTACGATTGATACTTTTATTGGTTGATTTGTTCGGATGCTTGAGTGTTTTCTCATTTGGCCTGTAACTCTAATGCATGTGATTAAGCAATGTTTTCAGAAGTGTTTTGTGTTCCGTAAAGCTTTATGGTTTGAGATCTAATGTGTGACAGTGCTAACTGCTAAGTGTCAAGAAATTCGAGTAAGAACCATTACTCTGTTCTTCATCTTCATTTTTTTGGGATCTAGTAATCATGAAAAGATGAAGATGTGATATCAGATTTGTTGCATGTTGAGATATGAAATGTGCGAGACAAAAGAGTAAATGTCAAAAACAAAAATGATGAGACAGAGAAATAGAAAGCAGAGTAGTCTGTTTGTTAGTTAATGATGAGAAAATGAAAGATGAAAGACTGATGGGCACATGCAATATTCAGATGTTTTCTAAGTTTTCTTTTCTTTTTTCTTCTGCACCAATTGATTCTGCTTCACCATTTTGGAATCGGGCTCCACTTTTGCAGAGACTACAGCTCTCATTATTCACATTTCTCTTGTCCTTTGTTATATATATATTGTTTGGCATATTGATAGATATTTGATCAAGAAATATCTTAAAAGTTTAGATTCAGGTGAATACCTTAGATGGCCAAAGAATGGATCTATCTAGTGAGAAACATCACTGACCTCAGCAGATTAATTAACTTAAAAAAAAAAAAAAAACAAACTCCATTTATCACAAATTCATATTACAATGTAAGCTTCATTACACAATAAAATAATACAACCATGCAATCAGTGTTCTCTTATCCCCGTGAGTGTTCAAAGAATGAAGCAGTAAGATATGTTAAGTAGATTGTACACGTGAGTGAGGCTTCTAATTTACACACAAGCTCTACAAAATTATAACACAGACTTAGTTCATTGTCGTCTTCTTCTTAAAAGTCCCCGAATTAACGTGTTGGTTGAGTCAAAAAGGGGTTACCAGAAGTCCTGAAGTGTAAAGAATCAGTGAATATTTTTGCATTAGCCTGTTCTAAACGAGACATTACTTAGATATGGATGGTTAAAACCACTCTGGGAATTTTGTAGCTTACCTTAGGTTCAGTCCAGGCTTCTGAAGAAGATTGCTTGGAATTTGGCCAGTAAGGTTGTTGTTTTGCAAGAATCTAATTGTCCACAAAACATACAGAGAACCTAAGTCAGAAATTCATGGTCATGGAAACAAAATGGCGACAATGCAATGGTGTATAGAAAACATGTAGGTTCAAGAACTGATTCTCGGAAAAGTCTATAGAGGAGACATGATTACAGTTATGCTGGTATACTGCAAAATGTATACAGGGTATACAGTTTATTATGCCCTTTGAATCTTAAAAAGCAAAGCTAAAGGACAAAAGTGCTTATGCCAAAAAAAAATCAGAAGAAGGGCCAACTGTTGTATAACTTAATGAATATAAGCTATTATATCTTTTCCATATACATGTCAAGAATCTTGAGCAGAAAAGTAGACAATATGCAACTTATTCTAGATAAACATTTAAATCAATAATCAAAAGAATCGAAACTTACAGCTCTCGCAAGTGCGGCACTCCACCTAGAGATGGAGGAATATTTCCACTGAAACGATTGTCTTCCAAATGCCTTGTACATAGGAAAAGAAATATGGAATTAGCTTATGAATCTCTGATCCATTGCAGCCTATCATTATTGATAGGTGAAAATACAGAGAACAAGTAGTGAAACAGTATAATTATCCTCTCACAGTGATTCCAGCCGTTTGAGTGAACTGATGTCAGGTAAACTTCCCGACAGAGAATTGTTTCCTAGCCAACTGTTCATAACATACAAATATCAATAGATGGTTTTGACGTTCAGGCATCGAACTAATAGTTATATGGTCAATGTACTTACATGGAGGACAATGCTGTTAATTTGGAAAGCGCAGGTGCTAGGGAACCTGAAACGCCCATATTAGTTAAGTTCCTGGAACAACAATGGATTAGAAAAGCGTCAGTATATCTAAAAGACTAAAACAGATGCAACATAAAACATAGGCAGCAGAATCTGGAAATATTCCAACTCACAAGGTGACTATGCGAATTCGGGGGCCTTCCGAGCAGGTAACACCAGACCAAGAGTAATTTTTGGGGAAACAAGGATCCCCATTCCAATCAGCTGGTGCATCCTCGAAACTGTTTTTAATTGCATTCATAGCAGTCACTGCAGAAGGAAGAAACACAAACTCAGCATGTTATCAGCAGTTAGATAATTAATTCATAAAACTGAATTCAATCATTCAGTGCTGTTTATCAGTCTTACTATCTCGAACAAGAGTTTTGCCTCCAAGAGGCACCAACTCAAACATTTCACCACCATTGATAAGGGGGGAAAGGTTTGAACCACTTCTAGGACTTAGAGATAACGTTGTGAGACCTTCAAGAGGCCACCTGCTTGCAAAGATAACCACACCAGCTGGAGTGACAGACAGCTCTTTATAATATGTTATACCATTGACAGAAACATCAAAGACTCTGGATCCATCTCCCAAAGAGTCAGAATCATGAGCAAAGTATAGCGCAATATAGTAAGTGGCTTTCGTTAAGGGCATTGGGGGCCATGTGAACTCCAAAGGCTGAACTTGGGTAGCTCTTAGATCTGTATTGAATATCCTCGCAGGCGGAAGGTTCCAGAAACCAGAAACCTCAAGTTTCCTATTGTTTGGTACAGTCGAATTCAGCGAATAAGGCTCCCAGAACCTATCAAACTGATCATCCGGAAACCTGAATAAGATGAAGAATGTTGAAGGTGAATAGATCATCCGTGGTATTTCATTGGTTTCGAAAGATTCAACACTCAGACTATTAATTGATTTGGCAAAACATATGTAAAGATTTAGCATCCAAGGAACCAATTCTCTGTAGAAAGGATCAAACTTTATATCAAAGTAGTGAACTTTAATACCTGATGATTGGTCCACTGTATCCAAAGGCATGCCTAGCAACAAGACTCATCCCAACAGTGGTGAAGTCAGTGGAATTGTAAAGAGTAGCATCAAGCCTGACGAGCTCCAAGGCTGAGATAAATGGATCAGAAGTGGTATAAGAATTAGAAGCAATGCAGACGCTAATAGATTTCCCCTGCGCCATAAAAACCCCTTCGTAATAAGAGGCGAGACCATCGGCGTAATCCGCTGTGGTATTGACGATCCCCCAAAACGTGCCGTCGACAATCTGATCAAACACCGGCGGCGGAGTACCTTTTCCGTTAACCCCGCCGTAGAAATAAGTAGTCCTGATCATATACTTCCAGCCGCGAGAAACGCTCACCACGTAGCAAAACTTGCGACGAGTTCCGTCGAGGTTACTAGGGAAGGATCTGACGGTGAACAGAATTTCGTCGAGCACTTTATCTGCGACGTTCTTCGGTGTTCCGCTGGAGACGAAATCCTCGTCGGATTGCCATTGTCGGCCGTCAATTACCGATGAATCAGAGGCGCCACAATCGATCAAAATCGCTGAAATATTTGAAAAAATAGAAATTGAGAATTGTAGGCAAATAACAGATACGAATGAACGCAATGGAACAAAGAGAATGAGAGAGAGAGAGACAGATACCTGAGGGAGGAGAAGGCTGAGAGAGGGAGGAAGAGAGAAGAGAGAAGACGGCGAGGAGGAGGATAAAGAGGCGGAGAGGGGACATGGCGGCGGAGACGGTGGTGGTGGAAGTGGTTAAGAAGCAGTTGGCATGAAACGAAAGAGGTTTAGGTTGGAAGAAGGAGGGGGTGGGTTGACCCTCCAGCTCCAGAGAGATTTGAAGAATGAGAGAATTAGAGGAACAGGTCAGAGAGAGAGGGGATGAAGACGAACTAAAAACTTGTTTCTTTTTTTTTTTGAATTTTTATTTTTTATTTTCTCTGTCCAAAGAAGACAACATAAATTATTATCTTATTCTGTTATTTCTGTTGCCGGTCTATTTTGTAAATCGAGAATATGACCGGCCCGGTTTGATCCGGTTCGTTCAAACTTTACTTGCTTGAATCGAATTTGCTCTTCAATTTAATTTCATCTAAAAAAATATCTAAGAAGTTTATCTAATTTGGAGGCTCTTTTTATAAGTAGCTAGTGTTTACGTTTCCTCACTTTTGGTTGCTTCTTCAATGCAAAATTAAGAAGCTTTTGGGATGCAAAGCGTGCTCGTGCCTCACAAGATTTCATTTTCATGTGCTCGCATTTATAATAATAATATAGAAACAACAACGACATAATGGTATACAGTATATCTCTTTTGCATTTTGTTCAAGGATCATACACGTTTACTTTGTGGCCGACCACAACAACGGACCCCAAAAGTCTCTAATCATATTTAATTAATTAGTGAAATATCGTTAGATGTTGTTTAGGATGACAATGATTCTTTGAAACATAGACGCAAACTAGCTATATGAGTCTAGATGATGATAACCAAATACATTTAGTAACAATATTAACCAATATATGTATGTGTACACTTTATCTTGAAATTCTTTACTATACTATATTTGAGAAACTTTTCTATACCATATACTACTTGAATATCTATATAGAAAATTGGAATATTGACTAAAAACGATTGCATTATAGAGTTTAGAAAGTAGTATCACAAACGCAATCTGTATCTTGTTGGAAAGATCAAAAACCTTAAAATGTATATAACACAAAACGAAAAGAAACTTGAAACTTCCAAAAATATAACAATATTTACATGATGATCATTTTCTAGATGAGATGCTGAGAATGATCGGTTCTTTAAAACTTGTACACTTTTTCCTGATCAGCCGAAATCTTATTAACCTTGGAGAATGTCCCAAACTTTGAGAAGTACTTGCTTTGAGTACCATCGTCTAGCTCTGGCGACTGAATACTCGGCTGCTCTTTAACCCTTCTTTCTAAAAACCTAGTACCAGAAGAAACAGCAACTCGCTTATGTCCTTGCAACATTCCAATCTCCTCGAGAACCTTGTCTCTCAAAGTTCTTCCTCTTGCCCCGGATGAGTCTCCTCTAGTAGAGTCAACTCTTGCTGCTGAAGTCAACTTTGCAGCCAAGAGCTCACAAGCATCATCCTGATATCTGGGAGGCGTGTTTTGGATAATCTCTGTCTCGTTCAATAAACCCGCAAGAGATCCAACAAAACTCCTCTTCCTCTTTTGACCAACACGTTGAACATTACAAGTAGGAGGCATCTTAGCAAGTGCAGCTAAACCTCCAGCACTAACCATGAGCTTAGTTGCAACTTCACATCCAAAAATCGCAGCCAGATTCGGTGCAATCAATCTCGTCTTGATTTCGACAAACTCAAGAACTTTCTTCTTGGAGGAATCAAGATCAAGAACTCGATCACACGCCTCTAGCGTCTTCTCCTGAACATCTTTTGGAAGTGGCTCTCCACATATGAAGGAAGCAGCATCGTCTACCATACCTATTGGAAGATCAACGAGGTCTAGTTCCATCTCGTAACCCATTCGTTTAACAACACGAGCGTAATGGATTGCGTGAGGTACAATCCAATCCAGTGTTGGGGACCTAGGTCTGTAATTGTGACGGATAAAGCTGTCAAGGATGGAAATTTCCTTGTCGATCTTAACTAAGAGCTTCTTGCAATCGACGAGCAGCTTGTATTCAGAATCGAAATCTAGAGCTTCTTCCACTTTCTGCATAATATCAGAAAATCTCTGAGTTTTCTGTAGCTTAGCAACTCTATCAAGATCATCGTAATTGAAGGTAGTAATAATAGTCTCGTCCTCCTCCTCTTCTTCTTCTTCTTCTTCTTCTTCCTTCTGAGCGTCATTCTCTTCTAATTCGGGTTCACTGTCAGATAACTCATCAAGGTCGGCTAGGAAACAATCTTCAAAAGTCGCCATATCTGGCAGCAGAATCTCTCAGTGTTACGAAAAGTTTTTCTGATAACTAGGTTTTCTATGAGTGATTTGGTATTCTTGTGTTGGTCATGTATGGTAGCAATTAGAATATATATAGAGGATAGGTAATAGTCTAATAGAGTCCTAAACCAACCCAAACTTTCCAATTCGGATTAGGAGCCTAACTAAACATTACTAAAATGTTGCCTTATTTCGGGTCTTTTTGAAGAAAATTATTAGAAGTTCAAGAAATATTGTAAAGTTTGAAAATGTTGAAGGGTAAAAATTGCAACGAAAAACAAACTTTGGATTCTTTCTAGAAAATAAAAATAAATTCAAGTTTTGATATTTACTTTTTTTTTCCTATATATTTATGGACTATGGTATCTTAACATTAATTTTGTCTTTCTCCCGTTAACTTTTTTTTCCAATAGCAAAAAAGTAAACAAGTGTCCTAAACCGATCTAAAATTCTAAACTAAAAAAGGAAAACAAGGAAAAGAGTAACAAGAACAAAAATGGAAATTTGAAATCTTTGTAGGTTTGCCTTTTTTGAGAAATTTAGCACTTAGCAGTTAAGAAAATATTTGTAAAGTTTGAAAAAGTTGAAGGAATTGTATATTATTAGGTTCAATATGTGATCTCGACATACTATCTTAAACCTAATTAATAATAATCATACTGTTTTTTGAATTAATTATAGAAAAAGTATCTGTATGTAAAATTTAATTTAAGTGGATTTTATAAAATTCCTATATATAATTAAGGGAATCTCTCAAATTGATTAGATTCTAACATAAATTTATAAGTTTCAAGACTTATAACCTAGCATTCTTCTTATATGAAACAACTCGATCTAATGGAAAAGAGCATAAAAGTTGGAGTTTCTATGAGTAGAGTATTTTCAAGCTTCAATTTCTTGACAGTAATTAACCTAAGTTATACCAATCTAGAGAATGAAGGTGCTATAGCTCTAGTAAACGCTCTCAAGAGCTCTGTTCCATCTCTTCAAGTTATAGAAATGGCTGGAAACAACATAACCGATGAGGCGGCTCCTGCTATTGCCGCTTGTTTGGCAGCCAAGCGACATCTGAAAAAGTGTAACTTGTCCCAGAATGATCTCGAAGACGAGGGATGTGTTGAAATTGTAAAGAGTATGGAAGATTTGGAGTTAGAATATGTTGATATGAGCTACAATAAACTGACAAGAGAAGGAGCATTGAGTTTGGCTCCTGTTGTTGTCAAGAAAGAAAGTTTCAAGATGTTGAACATTTATGGGAATATGATCTCTGCTAGAGGCATTGATGAAGTCAAAGAGATATTCAAGAATTGTCCCAATCTACTTGGACCTTCGGATGAGAATGACTCTCTTGGAGAAGAAGATGAGGATTATGAAGAGAGCGAAGGTAATATGGATGATCATGATGGTTTAAGAGAGATGAATGATCTTGAAGATTTTGAAGATGAATTCGTGAGTGTATTTATCTTTTACTAGTTGTTTGTATTGTACTAATAGAGAGTGGTGTTGCTGCTGCCATTTTACTACCTCAAATCAAGCTCTTTATCAAGTACCTTTATTTTGACAAGTGCACGTACCTTTAGAGTGGCTGAAAACATGAATTTGGGATCTTAGTTCTTCTGAGAAAAGTATTACATACTGTATGTTTTCTTTTTTATGATAAGGGTTTTCAATTTCAAATAATACAGAAGAAACATAACTGAGTAATACCTTTGAAAAAAACAGATATAAACTAAACTTAAGCAGCGAACAATTAAAATAAATGTAATACATGTTAGATTGACATAAGTTACATCGGAAAGAAGAACATCTAAATACTTCTACAAACACACAGACACGCAGAATAACTGAAGAAGAGACCAAACTCAACTCAGATCTCACTCAGCTTCTTCACTTTCGTCTACTTCCATTGGAACTTTGAGCTCTAGAGTCAGACGAAGAACACGTAAAAGAGTATCTCGACCTTTTCTTCTTATAAGTATTCCACTTGAATATTGCCTTTCCATCATTCTCTTCTTCACCTTCTTCTTCTTCTTCATCTTCTTCTTCAGACTTCTCCACTCTCTGTTTTCCACTGATCTCCTTTGCTCTTTCTTCTTCGTCTTCCTCTTCTCCCTCCTCCTCACTTGTCCCATCACTCACTGTTGGGATGGTTTCTATCACTCTTTTACTCGTTGGTGTCTTTGTGTTGCTTGCGTTCTCCTCTCTCCTATGTTTCATAGAGAGTTTTGACAAGTCTTCACCACTCTCCACGGCTTTCAGCCACTGTAACTCGCTTAGTGTGTCGCTGTAAACGATCTCTTTACGTTTTCGCTTACCTGTGACACTCCCAAAATGGAATTTTGAGCTGTTCAGCTTCTCATCTTGGCTCTGAGTAGTGTACGCCCACTCAGGGACTTCCTGCTCTTGCATCAGACGGGCTCTGTAATTCTCCTTCCTTCGCCTCTCCTCATCCATTCGCTCAAACATCCAAAATTCATCCTCACTACGAGCTGCGAGCCTGTTTATTTCTCTTTCACTGGGGACATCTGTCCCAAGCGAGCTTGTACCTTTGCGCATAATCTCTTCAAGCATCTCTCTTCTATCTTGTGCTGTTGATATAATCACAAAATCCACATCATGAGATTACAATATCAATACACAAAGCAGAAGCCATCACATTGTTCTTTCGGATAGACTTACCAGTGGAAGTTGTGTTGAAAAGTCCAGCTTGTATGACCTTCGCATCAATGCCCATCTTTTGTTTTGCCCGCTCCAATATTACTTCCTCAATGGAGCCAACGCTAACCAAAACAAACACTCTGACTTCTTTCTTTTGCCCTATGCGATGGGCACGATCCTCAGCCTGTTGGTCCATTTGTGGGTTCCAATCACTATCAAAAATAATAACAGTGTCTGCAGTTTGCAAGTTCAAACCTAGACCCCCGGCACGCGTGCTCAAAAGAAACATGAAGTAGGGAGAGTCTGGCTCGTTGAATTGCTTCAGTAAAAGCCCTCTTTGATCTGTCTTTGTGGTACCATCGAGTCTAAGATACTTGAAATCATTAAGTGTCAAGTAAATCTCAAGAACATCAATAAGACGGGTCATTTGGGAGAAGAGAAGAATTCTATGTCCGGCCTTGCGCAGTTTTGGAAGGAGACGATCAAGGAGTTCAAATTTCCCTGAAGCTCTGACAATCTCAGGTTTCTTCCACATATTGTAGTCTCCTCCAACAAATAGATAGGGGTGGTTACAACACTTTCTTAATTGCATCGTCAGATTTTGCAGACTCTTTGATTTACCAGATCCTGCACATGACGATCACGTTTGCATGAAATCAGCTTCACTCTCTGATTTAATTTCTTTACCCCAAAGATGAATGCAAAAAAAATGGAGAGGGTATTGGTGAGTTAGGTTCCAAACCTGTTTGAAGGCCAACCCTGCCCATGTCTGTAACTTGTTTGTAATACACTTTCTGCCACGCCGACATATCACACTTCAATATGACCTGAGTCTTTCCAGGAAGGAATTTCTCTACTTCGTCCTTTTTCCTTCTCAGTATAAACGGCCTTATAACCTGAAAGTGACAGAGTGAATATCATTAAAACATTGCATGCAAAATTTGATAAGAAATTGACGGAAAGATAGCTGTAGACCCACATGATGAAGACGATGGATAACCAAGAGCTCCTCTTCATCCGTAAGACTGACATCAGCACGGTCAGCAAATGGTGCATTAAACCATTCCTCGAAATTCTGAACCGAGTTAAAGATGTGAGGAAGGAGAAAATTTAGCAATGACCATAGTTCTTGAAGGCTATTCTGTATGGGTGTCCCAGTTAACAGAAGTCTGCGTTTTATACGATAGCTGTACCCAGGATAAAGTTTTGTTAGATATATACTCAAATTTCTACTCATTCTTGAGGAAAATCGGAGTAGCCATAAACCTAATGGTCAGCTAACATCATTCACTTCAGACAAATGAATATAGAGGTGTACCCTGTTAATAGAGTCTTTGCGAGAGCAGATTCATGGTTCTTCAGCCGATGTCCTTCATCAACAATCATGTAGTACCACTCAATTTTCTTCAAAAATGCTTTATCTCTCATGATAAGATCATAATGGGTTATCAATACATTAAATTTTCCTTCTCCTGCAATTTTTTCCCTTATTGCTTTTCTTTCCTCTAAACGCCCATCATAAAGAAAAGCTGCAATGCTGTGCAATGAACAAAACGGCTGATTTTCAGACATAACATTCATACCAATGCAAGTCCTCAGCACCATAAGAAAGATTCTCTGCAATATACCTTGGTACCCATGTTGCAAACTCGTTAACCCAGTTAGGTAGCACAGCTTTTGGAGCGACTATCAGATAAGGCCCAGGCACACCTTTATTTTCCAGAAGATACGCAATCAAAGAAATTGTTTGAATCGTTTTTCCCAACCCCATCTCATCAGCTAAAATTCCATTCAGGTTATTGTTGAATAGAGAAACCATCCATTGGAGCCCTTCTAATTGATAGGATCTTAGTTCCCCACCTTCTAGAAGGGAGGGTTGCTCAGTCACCTGTTAAAAGTATGGCAAAGGTTTAAACAATTAATCGTTCTGCTACTAGATGTACTATAGGGATCAACATTACCTTCTCTTGTATTGAATGGATAGCGGAGTTATATTGCCTCTGCCCTTCTAGTAAATCATTAGAGTCATCGTTATCGTCAGACTCAGTTATATCAATATCCTGATCAGGAAGCAGATCCTGCAATGGTTCACTTCTTGGAGCATCAAGTTCAGACAAGTCAGATTCTGAGTCTTTCAGTAGATCAATGCCTTCCGGAAGTTTAGCATCTTTCTGACGTTGAACAGCAGCTCCCAAATTAGAAAGGAGTTTGTTAGTCTCCTCTAAAAGAGTAGTTAGTCTCTCATTTTTACTCTCCTTTACTAGTTTCATGTATGCCTCTTGATCATCGGATTTAAGGGCCATGAGCCTCAACTTTTCAGCACGGGTAGCTCGTTGTCTTTGTCTCCCATGCCACGCCTGGTTGAATAATTAAGATACAAAATAAGTTTTGAATTTCGTCTATTGAGAATATTAAAGGATAACTGAACTGCCGTCACAATAATCGTATAAACTATATCATACCTGCACACCATCATTCCTTTGCCTACGGCGCTTTTGAGTCGCCTGAATTTGCAACTGGAATTCACGAACTGCATTAAGTACTTCTGCAAAGAATTTCCTCTTGGCGGTTTCAATCAGATTCTTCTCCTCTTCTTCTAAACGTGATAACCTCTGATCAAAGACTTTGACATATCAGTGTTGCAAATCAAGAAGTTTCAAAATGAGTCATAGTTCAACATTGCATACAAAATTCATTTCACTTCCATAAAATCCATCCAAAAGAGTTCCAGTAAATCAGAATCTAGAAATATATTTCTGCCCATGTATACTTTTACTGCTAAGATATATGAGCCATAGTTTGAAAATGGCCTTATGCCCATCATTTATGCAACTCCATAAGAAGACTTGTTCATCATTGAGTAAACTGAAAACCGGGAGCAGGAAAAAAGAATTTAACTAGAATAGCTAGCTGAAGAAAAGGTAGATGACCTCAGCATCACGCTTCTTTCTGAACTGATCATCAGCTTCCATAGCAAAAGGATCTCCAACCCCATAAAATGGACGTGGCAACCGCATCATGCCCCAGTCAAATAGTTGGCTACTGACATCTGCACAGCTCAGACGAAGCCAGAATTCGGAGCTCACCTTGGTTCGAACTTTGCCTTGCAATTCTCGCAGCTGCCACTCACCAAGGTAAAAGTGTCAATGTCAAAGATATCAGTATTAAACCAATGCCACATAATAACAAAAATCACAGAGCGGCAATGGTACCTTAAGTCCATAAAGCTCAAGTAAGCATTTTGCCTGCAAGTCTTCACCTCTACTGGAAGGTAATTCTGATTAAAACTCAAAAGAGTAAGCATTCCCCTTGAAGAATATATGGCTTTAGCAACATAATTCACAATGGTTATCCAGTAACAAAGGGAAAAAAAAAACACATTGCCAAGCATATTAACAGAATCACAACTTGAGAATGGTTTGAAGTAAAATATAGGAGAGCAAAGACGATAATAACCTTCAAGTTCAGATAAGCGGCGTTGGATATGACTCTTATTCCGATTATCAAATATTTCTCTCAAACGAGAACCTGTTTCAGAGTTTGGTCTCTGCTTCAAAAGTGCATCCTCAAACTCGCCCATTAAATCACCTCCATAGGGAGTCAAATTATTATTCCCCTACAAAAACAAAGACCAAAGCACAACATTAAAGCCAAAACCTTTAGGAATGTAATTGGACAAAACAAGCCACTGGAGATAGCTAATTTCCTTGGAAACTCGAAAAGGAGAAAACTTTGAATCAAACAAACTCAAATCTGAGCTACAGAAACATAATCACAGGACCACAAAATCGAGTGAAACCCCCAAATCAAAAAAAAAAAAAAAGGGTAACACACAAAACCAATCTAGGGCGAGGAATAGAGAAGAGAAAAGAAAGGGGCTTACATGCGGCGAAGTAGGCAGCGGCGGAGAGACAGCAGAGTGAGAAAGAGAAGAGGAGGC